GGTGAGGGGCTGAGGGCTGTTTTCAGGCCGACTGAAGCTCCCAACTGCTCTTTTTTTTCTTTTTCTTTTTTATTCTGGGCCAGCTTTAGCTCTGGCTCCAGGTCTGAGGCTTCTGCTGCTGAAAGAAGGTATCTGGTTTGTTTCGGTTCTATAATCGAAACACTGTATAACTCCAGCTCTAAGATCCCGGCCTCGCTGAAAGCAGGGTTCTGGGGTTTTGTTTAGCTTCTATATTTGTTACAATGTTTCTTAAACTGCAGGCTCAGAGGCCGGCAAAGCAGGCGGGGAGTTGGTTTCCTCCGTCACTGAAGCAAGCAAGCCTCATGTTAAGTTTCAAGCTGCCTGGCTGCCGGCCGCCATCTTGGCTGGCAGTTCATTTGCATATCTCGCTGATCAGCCAATGGGAAGGGTAGTGGTTGTACGCCAGTTACCATTTTTCTCTTTTATTAGATAGCATTCTTTCTCCTTTGTAGTGAATCTTTGCCTGTACCAAGGTTGCAAATATATTCAGTGTCTGTGTTTTCCTCTAGAATTTTTGTAAATTTTATCTATGCTCTGTCTCTGATTTTATGTATATGGTGTGAGTTAGGATTCAAGGTTCTTTTTTTTTTTTTTCTTTAGATAACCAGTGATCCCAGTACCATTTATTAAAAATACTTTACTCATTTCATTGTTTTGATGCTCTAGTCAAAAATCAATATGCTATGTTAGTATGGGTCTATTTCTGGACCTTAGCCTGTGCATTGATATATATATTATATTAGCTTGATTACTATGGATCGCAGTGAGTCTTGATATCAGATAGTGTAAATTTTCACTTTTATTCTTTTTCAAGATTGTTTTGCTAGCCTACATCTTCTGCCTTCCTATATAAATATTAGAATCACCTTGTTAATTTTTCCCCCATCATCTCCTTACCCCCAAAAAGTAAGATATTGAATGGTATTGCACTGACTCTATAGATCAATTTGGGGAGAATTGATATCATAACAGAATTGTCTTCCAATCCATAAATATGATATATCCATATATTTAGCTATTATTTAATTTCTGTCAACAGTGGTTCATAGTTTTTTTGTGTAGGGATTCTGTATAAATATACCTCTGCATATTTCAAATTTTTAAATTCTATGATGGCCTTTTCCTAAAAATTATTTATTTTATGTATGTAGAAATTGATGGTTATATGTTGACTTTGTATTCTATAACTATGCTAAATTGACTCACTAACTCTAGTAGGTGTTTTTTGAAGATTTCTTAAGATTATTTGCATATGCATTTTTGTCACTGACCCAAAAAAAGAAAAGTATACCTTTTATTTTCTTTATTACATTGGTTAGGACCTCCAGAATAATTATAAGAATGGACATCCTTGCATTGTTTCTGCTCCTAGGGGGAAAGCATTAATATGTTTACTTTTAAATATGAAGTACTGTGTGTTCTCATAGATGCCCTTTATCAGTGTGAGATATTTTCCTTCCCTAGCTTACTAAGGATTTTTATAAATAATGTTAAATTTTATGAAAACATTTTTGATGAGATAATTATATGATTTTTCTTCTGTGGGGATTATATTGATTTTTGAATGTCAAAGCAACCTTATATTTATGAAACAAATCCCACTTGGTATTTATTTATAATAAGTATTTTAATTTACTAATATTTTAATAGTGATTTTTGTATCAATATTCATAGAGGGTATTGGGATATAGACTTCTTATAATGCCTCTAGCTTGGGCAGTAGCATAACTTCAGAAGTGTTCCTCCTCTTCTCATTTCTTAGTTTGTATAAAATTGGTATTATTTCTCGCTTAAATGTTTGATAAAATTCACCAATGAAGCCATCTGGACCTGGAGTATGAATTCATTTTATTTAGTAGATATAGGACTATCCTGATTTTTCACTTTAGTTTTTTTTTTTTTTTTCTCTAAAATTTCTATTTGGTAAGTTTTCGTTTCCATTTTTTAATTCACATTATTTGTATCTTCCTTCCATTCATATTTCCCTTTAAATTCTTGACCATATTTATAATAGCTATTTTAATGTTTTCTATTCTATCATTTTTCTTTTTTTATTGACTTGTTTTCTGTTAATGGGTCAAATTTTTCTGCTTCCTTACATTTTTTTTTAAATCCTCATTCGACAATATTTTTTTTCATTCATTTTTAAAGAGAGGAAGGGCTGGGGGGCAGGGGAGATTGATTGATGTTAGAGAGAAACATCAGTAAGTTGCCTCCCATATGAGCCCAACTGGGAATCAGACCCACAGCCTTTTGGTGTATGGGACAATGCTCCAACCAAATGAGCCACCCAGCCAGGGCTCTAGTAATTTTTAATTGTGGGCAATACATTATGTTATATTGCTGAGTACCCATCCTTAATAAAGGGTTGAAATTTGTTACATTAGTCAGTTAATTTACATACTGACCAGCTTGATCCCTGTTTTTGTTAGAGTAGGTTTTATAACCTTTACTCTAGGGCTAGCTTAGCAGTTCTCTAAGGTGTGACCTTTCTATTCATTGTCACATGGTATTCAACTTGGTCTCTTCATTTTTGGTACAAAAGTCAAACATTTCCATCCTCTGTGCAAAGTCTCATATTTGTTCAACATACAATTTCAGGGTAAATTTTCTTTCCCAGGTGTGGTAAACTGAAAAATGGTCCCTCAAATAATATCCAGGCCTTCATCCCTGGAACCTGTATTACCTTATATCCCCAAATTGACTTTACTAATGTGATTAAGTTAAAGATCTTTAGATGGGGAGATTATTGTGGATTATCTCGGTGAGATCTAAATGCAATTAATTATATCCTTATAAAAGGGAGACAGAGAGATTTCATACACACAGAGGAGAAGACATTGTGACCATGGAGGCACAGAGTGAAGTGATGCAATCACAAGTCAATGAATAGTGGATGCCAACATAAGCTGGAGAGGCAAGGAATGAGTTCTTTTCTCCCTCCCTTTAGAACAGGGATGGGGTATGTCCAGCCAAGGCCGTATAAGGCCCACGAAATCATTTGGTCTGGCCTTGCCAAGGCGTTAGGAATGAGTTAATTAAATGTTTGACCAAATATAGCAGGCTGACTTTTAAGTTGATAATTGTGTATGGCCCATGAATCCTATATAATAAAAGGCTAATATGCAAATTGTCCCCTCGGCCGGAAGTTTGACCAGGGGGGCAGGGCCAGCCGACCTACTGCCCGCAGCCCCTCCCCCTGGCCAGCCTTGCCCTCCCCACCCCAATTGGGGTTGGGGCCAGCCCACCAACCGCCCACAGTCCATCCCTGCAGCCGGCCCAGCCCAGCCTGATTGGGGCAGGTGGGCCAGACGCCACCCATGCATGAATTTGTGCACCAGGCCTCTAGTAATGTTATAAATATCCAAATGGCCCTTGGCAGAAAAAAAGTTCCCCACCCCTGCTCTAGAGGGAGGGCAGCCCTGCTGACACCTTGATTTTGGTCCAATGAAATTGATTTCAGACTTCCAGCATTATAAGAGCATAAATTCCTGTTGCTTTAACCCACCAATTAATTTGTTACAGCAGCCCTAGGAAACTAATGCACAGGTAATTGTTCTCCTGGAAATCGTTATTTTTCCTTTGACACTGTGGACTCACCCTGCACATATGCAGCCTGGTATTCAGCCAAAGATTCAAGGCGACCCAATATGTAGGTCCTGAATTCCTTTGTGTATCTCCCTTGCTTTGGTGTCTTGACCCATGAATTTTAGCCACCTCTGGAACCCAAACTTTTAAATTGTCTCTTCAGTGCATTGAGACTGGGTGCTCTTAGAGATTCCTCCAGTCAGAAGATGGGCATTCGTGGAGCTCATTTCATTTGGTTTTCTTTTCTCATGCATCACATCCCTGTGCTTTGACTTGTTCACTGTTTCCTATTTTGTCCCATTTTAAAGTTGCCTGCAGTAGGAGGGCTAGTTAGGTACCAGTTACTCCCTTATGTTCAGGAGTGAAATAACCTGCTCCCTTTTTATCCAGTATATAATATTAATCCTTTATTATCTGGCACCACTCTAGAATGTAACGTCCATGAGAGCAGAGGCTCTCTTCTTCATGGCTATCTCCCCAGCTTCTAGAACTGCCTGACACACAATTTGGTGTAATAAGTGTTTGCCGATTGAGTGAATGAATGAATGAATGAATGTTGACAAGAAGCAGGGCTGACTTTCCACCAAAGAAGCCATAAAGGCCAGTATTTGTTTTACTAGCATGCTTTATGGTGGACATCAGAACTATAGACAGATATGCTCACCTAGGATTGGGATCATGAACTGGTGACTCAGGAGAATACATTTTGGAGACTGAAACATCCACACCTGCACCCTGTTACCAGGGCAGTGGCCTTCCCGGTGCCCTCTGTAGTGTCCAGTACTATTTAGCCCTCTGAGCAACAGCGTCATTTTCATTAGGGTAGTTTTATAGCGTGATTTTGGTTTTAGATCGACTACCTATCTACCCTTGTTTCTGCCCATTTTCTAGTTCTCATCCAGCTTTCCCAGTGATTCTGTGAGATACCCAGTATTTTTACAGTAAATTCCTTCTATGCTTAAATCATCCAACCTTAGTCATGTTTGTAGCTAAGAGTTCTGACTAATAAACTCTTTTAAAACTGCCCAGGACTCTGATTTCACAGTATTTAATAAGAACTAGGTGAGTGGTGTAAACATCAAGGATATTTTGCTTTAAATATGGAAAATCCATGTTTATTATAATAGGTCTCTACCTTGTGCATTTATGTAAATCAAATGTAGTGTTCTAAAGAGGCTATGACTCCAGCCAGCAGTTCCTGCCTCCTAATGTGTTTGCTGGACACATTAATCAGTTTTTATTTCTAACCCTAGATTAGAAATCTTATTGTATTTTTACTTGATTCTACTGAGAACTGTAAGATTGATTTTTCACTTGAAATCTTGACTTATATTTGCTTTGCTTTGTTATAAGTAGACATGCTATTAATACAGGTTTATTTTCCCGTTTAGGAGTTTCATAATAGAAGAGCAGAGTTTCTTGTTATGTGAAGATCTTCTCTATGGAAGAATGTCATTCAGAGGATTTAATCCTGAGGTTGAGGTATTAATATAATTACTTTAAATTTAAAATTTTTCCAATTGAATTCTTTCTGCTAGTAATTGGGTTTAGGTTTTTCCCCACCAGGTACCATTTCTCTTTATTATATGGAAAATAACAAATCTTGAAATACTGCCATAGCTATTTAAAGAAATTGCAAGCATTGCAGTCTAGTTTTACGGTGGAATTGAGTAGATAATTTAATATAGCAGTATAAGTTCTTAACAGTGCCACTGTAAGTGCTAGAATTTCAGCTCGGGTCTTTTATAGTAACATCAGGATTTTATTCATATGATGCTATTATTAAAAATTATTCTCTGGCATCTATAAATGAATCTTTGCTACTGGAAAAAAGTGTTACTTAAAAATTGAGTAAATTGACTTTTTAATGGACAGGTTTTGATCCAAACTTGTAAATAGATTTTTAAAAGAATCCTTTGGTAAGTTGGTTTGAAAAGTAAAATAGTCGCCTTATAACTGCTCTGTTCATTTGAATTTTCCTGCCTCAGGTTTTTAAAGTAGCACAGGCCTTCACTTAACAAATATCAGAATTCTGGTTGTATATTAAAAGCCATCCTATCAGATACTTGACCAACCAAATGGAGGTCTGTGATATAAAGCTTTAGTTTTATGACACTTAAAGCCAGGGTTTCTCAGCCCTGGCACTGTATGATGTATTGAGCCAGATTGTTCTTTGTGGTGGGGGCTGTCCTGTGCATTGTAGGATGTTTAACAGCATCCCTGGTCTGTATTCTCTACTCCCTAGACTCCAGTAGTGTACACACACACACCAGTTGTAACAACCAAAAATGTCTCCAGACATTGCCAGAGGTCCCCTGGTGAGCAGAGTCTCCCTGGTTGAAAACCACTTCCCTAAAGATGCCTATAGACAACCACAGCTAACCAAGTTAATTGCCAAAGTTTATTTTTAAAGATTCTAGTTTAATTTTCTCCCCCTCCTCTTCCTTTTTAAAGGGTATGATAATTAAGCTGTTAAATTTATTTTATACAAAATCAACACTAAAAGTGTTCGTTTTTACTATATGCTTTCCTTGCTTTGGCCTGCTTACAGCTTTAGATTGGGAAAAGAAAATGGGCAGTGGAACAAAGGAGGGGGAAAAGCAGATAATGAGTGTGTTATACTCAAAGACTGGGGCTGTGGGTGGACAGGCATTCCAAAGTATGTCTGGTATGCGGGAAAAGGAGTTGATTCGGGCCTCAGAATTTAATGGGACTCTGTACCATTGGGTACATTCTCTCTGGGGGAAAGTTTTGAACTGTTTGGTTTGTACATCTGAGCTGTCATAAAATGTGAGAAAAGTTTGATATACTTGTTTATGGAAAGAATGATACCAACTTGAGAGCACTTTATTATAAGCAGGATGTATTTAGAACACATGTTTAATATTGTATGTGTTTCTAGTAACACCTGGCATAGAGTTTATTTTGTCAGTACATATTTATTCTGTGCCTGTGGTGCATCAGCCCTCTAGAAGCACTGGAGATGCAGCAGGGAACCCAAGTGTATGCCCTCACAGAGTTTGTATTCCCAAAATTATTTTATGTTTAGTCCTTTAAATGTTGGAAAAGCTAATTGAGACTAGTTTCTCGTCTGCTTTCCCTTCCTTGTTCTACCTTTGCTATAAAGAAAGTATTATACAGTAAAAATAAAATCTGTCAGAGGGTAACTGTCAAGTAATGGTTAATGTGAGATAAAAAGATGGAGAGAGGCCCGTGACACATGGACATCATAGGGGATACATTATCCACCCTCGTGTTTGGAGGTGAGGCAGGTCCTCCCCATTATACCAAGGCCCACTATCCAGTTCTTCCATCCAGCAATTTGCTGCCCCACAACCACCACCACCATTTAAAAAAAAAAAGCATATAAAATTACTCTTGACTATAAATACTTCTTACATTTGGCTCAAAGGTGGGAATTTTGGAGGAAATCTGAAAGTTTACTTTTTCTTTCCCCTACTCACTAGAATGTGTTACAGTGTGTCTGTTTTAATTTTAATTTTTTAATTACAATTGACATACAATATTATATTAGTTTCACGTGTCCACCCCCATGATTAGATATTTATATAACTATGAAGTGATCACCTCAATAAATCTAGTAACCATCTGACACCATACATAGTTATTAGAATACTAGAGGCCCAGTGCACAAAATTTGTGCACAGGTGTGATCCCTAGGCCTGGCCGGTGATCAGAGTGTGAGCATCTGGCATGGAAGGGCAGATCCCAGCTGACCTCTGGGCCCTGGGCAGCACCTGGCTCCCCCACCCCCCCGGGCCCCACCCAGCTTCCTCAGTGCCTAGGAGCCAGGTGGCGGCCCCGCCCCCTGCCACCACTGCTGATCATCGTTTGCAGGGTGGTCAGCGGGGTGATTGGGCCCTGCTCCCACCCACCTTGGCCTGGCATCACCCGCTCACCTGCTCTACCATCCTGCCATGGTCCCGTTCTTGTCTGGGCCCATTAGGGCCGGCAGTGCCTCCACTGCCACCCGCTGCCAGCGCCACATCGCTGATGCCTGCCATGTTCCACGCTGCCACATGATGGTCAGCACACATCATAGCAAGCGGTCAAACTCCTGGTCAAGGGGACAATTTGCATATTAGGGTTTTATTATATAGGATTATTGACTACATTCCCTATGCAGTATTTTACATCCCCATGATTATTCTGTAACTACCAATTTGTCCTTCTTAATCTCTTCACCTTTTTCACCTATCTCCCCAACCACCATCCCATCTGCCAGTGGTCAGAATGTTTTCTACATCTGTGCATCTATTTCTGTTATGCTTGTTTGTTTATTTTGTGTTTTAGATTCCACATATAAGTGAAGTCATCTGACATTTGTTTTTCTATCCGACTTTATTTTTGTCTTTCTGTCTCTAGGTCCATCTATGTTTTTATAGATGGCAAGGTTTTATTCTTTTTCTATGGTTCAGTCATATTCCGTTATATGTATGCACCACTTCTTTATCCATTCATCTATTGATGGACACTTAGGTTGCTGCCATATCTTGGCTATCCTATATAATAAAAGAGAAACATGGTAATTGGCATACAACCGCTACCCTTCCCATTGGCTAATCAGGGCAATATGCAAATTAACTGCCAGCCAAGATGGCGGCCGGCAGCCAGGCAGCTTGAAACTAACATGAGGCTTGCTTGCTTCAGTGACGGAGGACTCCAGCGTTCCCCGCCTGCCGCTGCAGGCCTCTGAGCTGCAACTCTAAGCAACTATGTAACAAATATAGAAGCTAAACAAAAGCCCAGAAACCTTCTGGGCTTCAGCCAGCAGGATCGCAACATTGTAAGCAAAGGCCAGAAACCTACTTTAAGCAGCAGGGACCTAAGAGCTGGAGCCAAGCCTCAAAGCTAAAGCTGGCCCAGAATAAAAAAAAGAAAAAGAAAAAAGGAGCAGTTGGGAGCTTCAGTCACCCCCAGCCTGAAAACATCCCTCAGCCCCTCACCCAGACTGGCCAGGCACCCCAGTGGGAACCCCCACCCTGAAGGGTGTGTGACCAGCTGCAAACAGCCATCATCCCCTCACCCAGGCTGGCCAGGCACCCCAGTGGGGACCCCCACCCTCCCTGATCCAGGACACCCTTCAGGGCAAACCAGCCGGCCCCACCCGTGCACCAGGCCTCTACCCTATATAATAAAAGGGTAATATGCCTCCCAGCACCGGGATCAGCATGACAGGGGGCAGCGCCCAAACCCCCTGATTGCCCTGCGGCTCTGTGTGTGACGGGGGCGGGGCCACAACCTCCCTATCCACCCTGTTCTGTTCGTGACAGGGGAAGGTGCCCCAACCCCCTGATCAGCCCTGCTCTGTGCCTGATAGGGGGGAGCTCCCCAACCCCCTGATCGCCCTGCGGCTCTGTGTGTGACAGGGTGCAGAACCCCAACCCCCCCGCCACGGGCCCTGCTCTGTGTGTGACAGGGTGCGGCGCCCCAACACCCCACCCCCCCACAGGCCCTGCTCTGTGTGTGACGGGGTAGAGCCATAACCTCCCCATCGGCCCTGCCCTGAGTGTGAGAGTGGTGGCGCCCCAACCCCCTGATCAGCCCTGCTCTATGGGTGATAGAGGGCAGCGCCCCAACCCCCTGATGGGCCCTGCTCTGAGCATGACGGGGCAGCGCCCCAACCCTCTGATTGGCCCTGCTCTGTGTGTGACAGGGTACAGAGCCCCAACCCCCTGATGGGCCCTGCTCTGTGAGTGACGGGGTGGCTCTGCAACCTCCCCATCGACCCTGCCTTGAGTGTGACAGGGGACGGGCCCCAACCCCCCAATCAGCCCTACCCTGAGTGTGACTGAGGGTGGCATCACAACCTCCCGATCGCCCTGCTCTGTGCATGACAGGGGAAGGCGCCCCAACTCCCCAATTGGCCCTGCTCTGAGCCTGACCAGGGGCTGCACCTAGGGATTGGGCCTGCCCTCTGCCACCCGGGACCAGGCCTAAACCAGCAGGTTGTTATCTCCCAAGGGGTCCCAGACTGCCAGAGGGCACAGGCCAGGCTGAGGAACCCCACTCTCCCCCCCGAGTGCACAAGTTTTGTGCACCGGGCCTCTAGTCTACACTAATAAAAGAGAAAAATGGTAATTGGCGTATGGCGCTACCCTTTTCATTGGCTAATCAGGGCTATATGCAAATTAACTGCCAACTAAGATGGCAGTTAACTGCCAACAAAGATGGCGGCTAATTTGCATATGTAGGCACAATGCAGAGAGGCGAAAGGGAAAGCAGGAAGAAGCCCCCTGCCACTGACAGTTATCGGAAACCCAGGGGGGAGCTAAGAGCTGGGGGGCAGCCATGATCAGAGAATCAGGCGCCTTTGCCGCCCTGGCCAGTGATAGCAGGAAGTAGGGGTGGAGCCAGCGATGGGAGCTGGGCACGGTCGAAGTTGGCAGTCCCGGGAGCTAGGGGTCCCTTGCCTGGGCCTAAAGCGGAGCCCACGATCGCGGGGCCGCTGCAGCTGTGGGTCCCCCGCTGCCCGAGCCGGACGCCTCAGCCAGAGGCATCCTGCAGGGGCAGGGGCGGAGCCCGCGCGATCGCGGCGCCCCCCGCCGCCACTGCGGGTCCCCGCTACCCAGGCCAGATGCCTCGGCCAGAGGCATTAGGCCTGGGCAGCGGCAGAGCCTGCAACCGCGGGGAGCTGGGGGTCCCCTGCCCAGGCCTAACGCCTCGGCCAGAGGTGTTAGGCCTGGGCAGGGGCAGAGCGGGAGATCGCGGGGAGCTGGGAGTCCCCTGCCCAGGCCTAACGCCTCGGCCAGAGGCGTTAGGCCTGGGCAGGGGCGGAGCCTGCAACTGCGGGGAGCTGGGGGTACCCTGCCCAGGCCTGATGCCTGGGCCAGAGGCATCAGGCCTGGGTGGGGGGCGGAGCCGGGGATTTGAGGGATATGATGGTCTCCTTGCCCAGGCCTGAAGCCTGGGTCAGAGGCGTCAGGCTTGGGTGGGGGGTGGAGCAAGCGATCAGAGGGAGATGGGGGTCCCCTGCCCAGGCATGATTCCTGGGCCAGAGGCCTCAGGCCTTGGCGGGGGTCAGAGCCAGTGATCGGGGGGAGATGGGGGTCCCCTGTCCAAGCCTGACACCTCTGGCGGAGGCGTCAGGCCTGGGCAAGGGGCCGATCAGGCGATCGGAGGGTGATGGGGGTCTATGCCTCTGGCCGAGGCATCAGGCCTGGGCAAGGGGCAGAGCCAGCAATCGGAGGGGTCTGGGGTTCCCCTGCCCAGGCCTGACGCCTGGGCCAGAGGCATCAGGCCTGGGCTGGGGGCAGAACCAGTGATGGGGGAAATGAGGGTCCCCTGCCCAGGCCTGACACCTCTGTCAGAGGCGTCAGGCCTAGGCAAGGGGCCGATCCTGCGATTGGAGGGTGATGGGGGTCAACGCCTGAGGGCTCCCAGTATGTGAGAGGGGGCAGGCTGGGCTGAGCGACACTCCCCCCCCACACACACACACACACACACACAGTGCACGAATTTCGTGCACCGGGCCCCTAGTTTATATATATAAAACCCTAATATGCAAATAGACCAAATGGCAAAACAACCAAACAGCCAGTCGCTATGATGTGCGCTGACCATCAGGGGGCGCGGGCGGAACATGGTGGGTGTCAGCAGTAGGCAGCAGAACGTGGAACATTGCGGACATCGGCCATGGTGGGATGGGGAGCAGGTGAGCAGGGGCGCCAGACCAAGGCAGGACTCCAGTTGCTGTCATTGGGGCATGCCTCTGCTGGTTACTGATAATTCTTTGTTCCCGCAAACCATGGTCCCTCCCCGCACTTGCACCTGCTGCTGGCGCTGGTCCCTCTCACACCCACTGCCGACACTGAAGCCACCGCCCACTACCGCTGCTGGCGCCGGCCCCAGTCAGTGGGTGCGAGTGTCAGCTGCCGGCCCTGATCGCCCCTCAGGGCTTCTCCATCTCCCCTTGCTCCTGAGGGGCAATCGGGGCCGGCAGCCACCACTTGCACCCACTGTTGGCTCTGGACCCACTCGCACCGCTGCTTGCACCATCAGCGTGTGGAAGTGGTGGCAGCTGGAGCGGGACTGCCAGGGAACAGGGGGCTGCAATGGAAGGGGCTGGGTGGGGACACAAAGGATGGGCCGAGACCCGCCCCTGTGCCCACCTCAACCTCGCAGCCCACAGTTCCTTTCAAGGTGCACAAATTTGTGCACTGGGCCCCTAGTTGTAAATAATGCTGCAGTGAACATGGATATATATATATATATGTCTTTTCAATTTAGTGTTTTCAGTTTCTTCATATAAATACCCAGAAGTGGAATTGCTGGGTCTTCCTTTGTCTCTTATTATAACCTTTGTTTTAAAGTCTATTTTGCTGGTATAAGTATTGCTTCTCCAGATTTTTTGTTTGTTTCCATTTTCATAAACTATCTTTTTCTATCCCTTTTAGTTTGTGTGTGTCTTTTGGTCTGAAGTTAGTCTCTTATAGACAGCATATGTAACAGTCTTGTTTTCTTATCCATTCAGCCACCTTATATCTTTTGATTGGAGCATTTAAACCATTTGCATTTAGTGTAATTATTGATAGATATGTAGTATTTATTGCCATTTTATTTATATTTTTATCTTTTGTCTTCTTTTTCTTATAATACTGTTTTGGTAGTGATGAACTTTTTTAGCTTTTGTCTAGGAAGCTCTTTACCTGTCCTTTAATTCTAAATGATAGCTTTTCTGGGTAGAGTAGTTTTGGTTGTAGGTCCTTGGTTTTCATCACTTTGAATATTTTGTGGCAGTCCCTTCTGGCCTGCACAGTTTCTGTTGAGAAATCAGCTGTCAGTCTTATGGGAGCTTTCTTGTAGGTAACTAACTGCTTTTCTCTTGCTGCTTTTAAGATTCTCTCTTTGTCTTTAACCTTTGACATTTTAATTATGGTGTGTCTTGGTCTGGGCCTCTTTGGGTTCATATTGTTTGGGACTCCCCATGCTTCCTGGACTTGTATGTCTGACACCAGGTGAGGGAAGTTTTCTGTCATTATTTTTTTCAAATAGGTTTTCAATTCCTTGCTTGCTTCTCCTTCTGGCACCCCCATGATGTGAATGTTGGTACATTTCAAGTTATCCCCGAGGCTCCTTATACTATCCTCATTTTTTTGTATTCTTTTTGCTGTTCTGATGTCTGTTTTTTGCTTCCTTAACTTCCAAATAGCTGATTTGATCCTCTACTTTATCTACTCTACTGTTGATTCCCTATAATGCATTCTTCATTTTAGTTATTGTACTCTTCATTTCTGACTGGTTATTTTTTGTTTTCTTTCTCCATTTTTATGTGTCCTATCTCTTCGTTGAAGTTGTCACTAAGTTCATCTACTCTTCCCCAAAGTTCATTGATTATCCTTATAACCAGTGTTTTAAACTCTGCATCTGGTACATTGCTTGACTCCATTTTGTGTAGTTCTGTTTCTGGAGTTTTGTTCTGTTCTTTTATTTGGGACATGGTTCTTTGTCTCCTAATTGTATCTGTATCCCTGTGTTTGTTTCTATGTATTAGGTAGATCTGCTACATCTCCCAGTCTTGATAGCCTTATGTAGTGGGTGTCCTCTAGGGCCCAATGGTGTAGCCTCCCCAATCACCTGAGCTGGGCACTCCAACTGTGCCCCCTGTGTGGGCTATGTGAACCCTGTTGTAGTTGAACATTGACTGCTATTGGCATGTCAGTGGTAGGAATTTACCCCCAGGTCAGTCATCTTCGAGGACTGGCTGAGACCAGCATGGAGGATCTGCTATATAGGGATTGACCCCACAAAGCAGGTCTTGCTTCGGCAGGTCTCTGGTGCCCACTGAGTTCGCCTCTTGAGTGTGTTACTCATGGAGGCGGTTGGGTTGTAAACTGGCATGGTCTGAAAGCTGTCCGGTGGGTGTGCTGGCTCTGGGGCCTCTCAGGAAGTACAGACCAAGGCTAGCAGCTGCCTGTGCCATGCCTTGGACCACAGCATGAACTACAGAACAATTTGCAGATGGCTGCTACATGTGTGGGCTTGGAGGAGCCCAGGAGGGGCCAAGCTTCGAACCTAGGCTGGCTGCTACTAGTGCTGGGCCTGGGGCCGCTTAGCAAGAAATGCAGATGCTGCTTGTTTGAGAGATTTTAGGAAAGTCCACAGCATGAGCCAAGATAGGCTATTTGTATGGAAAAGCTGCTGGAAATGGCTTGTGTGGGCCCACAAGTTGGATGAGGCCGGGAGAACAGTGTTTTAGCCAGGTTGATGAAGACTCAGATGCTGTGCCCATTTGCCAGCTTTGTTGAGGGGAGGGCTCAGCAAAGGAACAGTGGCCTCTGCCAGCACTCCAGTCTGGGAGAAAGCCCTTACGCTGATGCCAGACATTCATTTTCTCCCTGTATGTCCCTGGAACTTTTCAAGTTGCTGCCCCAGAGCTGGAGCTCAGGGCAAGTGAGTCTGAGTAAGTCCATGTGAGGGCCCTTTAAGAAGAACACCTGGAACTCTAGAGGCCTCTTGTGTCATCAGCCACAATTTCCCCTGGTTTTTACAGCCAGAAGTTATGAGGACTACTTTTCCCAGCACTGGAACCCTGTGGCTGGCAGGACTGGTGTGAAGCTGGGGCACTTTGCTCATCAGGTGGGACCTCTGCAGCTGAGATATCTCTCCCAATTTTTTTAACCACCATACATTGGTGTAGCAGTGTGTCTGCTATAGATATGAGTAACTAATAATAAGATTTATGATCTAAAATACGATTTAATTGACAAGTCTAATCTAGTGGGGCTTTCTCTTACTGTTTTTAATTCAGAGCAGACTTGTGTTAGTACACCGTGGAATAAAGTAGTACAGAAAACTGCTTATGAATTTTTGTTAGTCCTGTATAGTCTGACCTCTGCTTCTCTACCTTCAAATATATTGGACACCAGTTCCTTTCACAAGCCTTTTTCAGCCCTGTTGGCCATGTTGGTGTATTTTTCAGAAATTAATGCTTCAGATGAATGCTAAGAACAAAGCAGAAGAAGTTGAAGATGAAACAGTGGAGCTTGATGTGTCAGATGAAGAAATGGCTAGAAGGTAACCATTACCTTGGGACAACTTTGTGACCTGTGCCCAGCATTCACTGGCTCTCACATGTGTACTTCTCTTACCCCATGGTCTACCCCAGCAGGAAAATGACTGTTTCTACTTTCTCTGACCTGAGGTGGATTCATACTGTCACAGGCTGGCAGTTGAGGGCTCATTTCCAGAGCTGCTTCCAATGCATATTTGAATATACATCTCAATTTACTTAGGATAATAAAAAAAGAAAAAATAGGGGAGAATTTAATCATTCTTAGAGAAGTTTATACGTTTTTAAATCAGGTGGCTTATTTTAATCATAGTTTTGATTTTTCTTATTCTTTGTTGCATTTTATTTTCTTTTTTTATTGATATTTAGAGAGAGGAAGGGAGAGAGATAGAGAAATAGAAACATCAATAATGACAGAAAAACACTGATTGGCTGCCTCCTACACCCCTCCCCCTACTGGGGATAGAGCCTGCAACCCATGCTTGTGCCCTGACCAGGAATCAATCCAATGGCCTCTTGGTTCAAGGGTCGACACTCAACCACTGTGAGCCACACCTGCCAGGCCTTTGTTGCATTCTTGATAAGACTTGATTCCTGCCTTTTTTATTTGGAATTAAATTTGTGCTATTTATCATCTTAACAGATATGAGACCTTGGTGGGGACAATTGGAAAAAAGTTTGCCAAGAAAAGAGACCGTGCCAATTATGAAGAAGATGAAAACGGAGACATAAAACCAATTAAAGCAAAGAAGATGTTCTTAAAGCCCCAAGATTAAAATGTATGCCTTAAGATATGGCTCAGAGATGCCTTGTGAGAGTTAACATATTTTGGAACTGATTTCATTGGTTTCTCTATAGTTATTAGTATTGTAATGTTTATTTGTAAAGAAATGTATAATTTTGGAAACATGCTGTTTTTGAAACAGATGTATGATGGATGTTATACATCCTTTGCTTAATATGGTATTCATCAAGAGTGGATTTTTAGCCCTTGATCTTCAAATGTACAAAGCAATGTTTGCTTCCTAAAATTTTTTTTACCCCAGATTATTTTTAAATACATCTTTTTAATTGCTGACCTTAAATTGGCACATAACTTATAATAGTGTTTAAATTGTCCTTGTGTTTGCATTTTACTTTAAATTATTAATGTTAAGTCATTTCATACATTTTGGAATCAAATGTCGTGAGAATTTATTCTACGTAAATTCATCAAGAACAAGCATGCCTCTCTAGCCTAAAATATTTGCATGCAACCAAATCAGTCAGTTTGTGGAATTAAGCGGTTTTGTTTAAAGCTTTTCATTAATAAGAAAAAATAATGTTCTGTAATAAACATCTGTTTTCATATATTTTTCTGTTATCTTATACTTTCAAATAATAATTTTAATTAAATTCGGTACTGGAACTTTAAAAAAAGAGCCACTAATTTAGAAGATGGTGGTATAATTAGATTGAACTGTAGAAATTTACTTCTATGAGTCAAAACCATCAATTTTTTATAGTATAGCTCAGTAGAATTTGCCACCCCCCAGATTATCTCCTAGTCTGAACCTTATTCTCAGTAGTAAGTAGAGAAGCCCGTGGAATTTAGTGTATGTATGTGTGTGTCTCTGTCTGCCTGGAGATATGTACCTAGGACTTCATTTCATTTTGTTCCTAGCAATACACCTTCCAGCTCTCTACATCCTGGGGCAGAAGCCAGAAGTTCTCGCTGCTTTGCCAGCACCACAATCCATTAATTTATGGAATATCTTATTCACCCTTGTTCTGCACAGCATTACTTTTGATAACCGAACCCATTTCATAAAAAATTAGTGGGGCAATGGGTTTGTGCCTCTGGAATTCACTGCTCTTTGCCCATACCCCACATACAGGAGAAGCAGGTATAATAGAATGGTGGAATGGTCTACTTAAGACTCAGTTATGGCCCAAAGTGGGACACAAAACTGCATCTTACAAATTCCATGCTTTGAATCAGTGACCACTTAATGGGGCTGTTGATCTCATTAGAATAAATGGTCTGGAATTAAGCAGAGGTAGAGAAAGTGGCGCCTCTCACTGTTCCTCCCAGGAACACATTCACAAATGTTTTGCTTCCTATCTCCTCAGTGTTGAGTTCTGGAGGTCTGAGTTTGCAAGGGAGAAGTGCTCCCACCAGGGAACACGAGTATTCAGACAGAAATTGAAACAATCTGGTCATTTTGCCACTAAACCAGTAGGCAAAGGCGTTTCCTCTCCTGGCTGGTACAGGAGAACAAGGGCATTTGCGCTGTTTCTACATGGTGGGTGACGGAGAATGACATGTGGAACCCAGGGGCATCTTGTAGCACTTCAATGTCCACTGACAAACTTGAATGGAAAACAACCACCTCAGAGGCAGGAATGATGTAGACCCTTTAGACAATGAAGTCTTGGGTTACCTTATGAGGCATAAACCCAACAGATCCTGGCTGAGGGGAGAGGAAAATGAATATGAAGAGGGAGAATGAAGATTATTAACTACAGCCTTGTGATGAATTAATTATAAGTTACTGAGCAGTTAATGCATATTTTCTTCCTTGCTGTGTGTGTACTAATTTTTTCTCACTTCTCTTACCATATATGGGATTTAGAGGGTTAACTTTGCTAATAAAGAGTTGTTTTTCTTGTAGGAAGTTTAATCATGTTTAGAAGTGCATGCATGTGGATGTAGAAAAGCCCAAGGAGACAGACTATAGTAGACATTAACTTGTTTCTCAGACTCAACTATATAGCTTTTGGTGCTGGTCTGGGACTCAGGAAACCCCATTTCTCCTTTGCCAGCTGGCTGGCTTCTTATTGGATGGGCCAATGGAAGCCCAGAGGGAGATGACAAGTCTAGAGGAGGAAGGAGGAGCATAATCCTTTCTGTCTGCTTCTTCCTCTGCTTTCCCATAAACACCTCTTCCCTCCAGCGGAGGCTGGTGTTTCAGTTACAGTCATTGATACCAACTACTCAGCACTTAGATTTCTGCCCAGTACTCTGGCCCATAGGACACCTCCATTCAACTCAGACACGTGTTAATCTTACCAGGGTTGTTGACCTTCAACTCTAGGGTGTCTTCGGGCTTCTAAAATTGAGCAATTTCAGCCCTTTTCCTAAGAGTGACAGCTTCCTGCATGATACCTTAAATGTTCTCTTTTTCCTTTTTTTAGATCTTTAATACCCAATTAACAATTCTTTACATTGAATTTCCTCTGTTGAAATAAGGGTGGCTTTTATCTCCTGACTAGATTTTTTCCAAAGCTGTGAAATCCTGGGTTTAATAGTCTTGAAATACTTCCTTTTTTTAATCTGCATTCAAGTTTACAGCTATTAAAGTAAAAATGTTCAACCACTTACAACTGCCTGGAAGTGTTCTCATGTGACCTGTAGTTAGTTTACCATATTTGGAAAACACTGCCCCAGCACAATAACATCCATTGACTTGGTTGTTGTTTCATTCATGTTCATCTCCTTAGTTGTCAAGCTACTGCTGTTCTCTGAGGTAGAGACTGTATCTTTTTTATTTGCTCCTGTACCTAGCAAGGAATGTGACCCATATTAATGCTTTTAGTAAATGTTTCTTCAGTGAATGAATGAATGATACATGGTTTGGAAATCACCTAGCCTACAAAGCCTATTTGAACCACAGTGCTGCCCAACAGGCGAGGCTCAGCTGTTGAGCATCAACCTAAGAACCAGGAGGTCACGGCTGGTCAAGGCACATGCCCAGGTTGTGGGCTCAATCCCCAGTAGAGGGCATGCAGGAGGCAGCAATCAATGATTCTTATCATTTATGTTTCTATCTCTCCCTCTCCCTCTCTGAAATCAAAAATATATTAAAAAAATAAAAAACACAGTACTGTGGAAATAAAGACTAACCAAATGAAAAAAAAAAAGAATATTCAGTACATGCTACAAGAGCAGGGGACTCAGCCACCATCATTGGCAGATTTAAAATCAGGCAGAGGAATGGGAAAGCCTTATTGTGGGGGAAAGAAAAGGGAAGGCTTGAGGTTTGCCTTGATTGGAGGCTGTTGGCATGACGAAGCTGTAGGTGGCTAATAGAAGCAGGATATGCTAAGTGATTGGTTAGATATGCATATTTGACTTTCTGGTCCTAAGTTAGAAATGGGGACAAAAATTAGGGAACTTATCAGTTATTAATCTTTATCTTTTGGAGCTGATTGTTATAGAAGTTATTGTTTAGCATCGTAGATTGTCACTAGAGATACACCATCTGGCTTTCTGCAAGGCTGGAGTTTAGATAAGGGGTTGGTTTCTTGGGCAGGTTGCTGTAGGTTATGGGTCAAAGTTCTATTTTTATAGATAGCCTAGCCATTGTCCATTTGTATATTCAGTCTCTCAGTGCTTAAGTTTATTTCTAATCATACTATAAAATACAACTGTTTGATCATGATTCTGTGGAAATTAGCACTCAATTTAAGAAGTGCCACCAGTGGGATTAGGGATGTTTGTGGCTCTAGCCATTGGCAGAGTTGTCTATGCTGGAGGCAGACACTTCAGCATTTAGTGCCCCAGGAACAATGCCACCAAATCAGGCAACTGAAAACTTTTGTTATTCCAGATCTTGGGGAGGAAAACTTAGCCAATACCATTGACTAATGGATATAGAATTCAATTCAAAAGATAATCATCATTTCACTTAACGATTCGCTAGAATTCATATAAGTTGATTAACTTTATCAAAGAGAAGATGTAGCTATAATAGTAGTCTCAAGAAAATCCCTAGAAAACTTTCACTTTGTAATATGTATTTTATGAAGATATCCATTTCCCCTGAAACAGTTGCCTAATGAAATGTGTTGTCAAATGAAACACATTTTCCCAATCCCGGCCTCAGAGAACACACAGGTGCCATGTCATTTAGTCCAAGGTATGTTGGAGCTTCTAAAAGAGTCTGGCCTGACATGCCTTCTTCCTGTAGGAATATCCTTACATGAGTACTTTATTAATAAAGTATTTGGTGGTTCTGTAAGTGCTTGTAAACTATAAGCATCTCACTACACGTAAGTTCTCATTTTAATTTTAATCATCATGAAATCATTAATCCATAAATGTACCCTGTTTAGCTCTGTTTGGACAAAGAAATCATTTGCACAGAAAGGATACCACTTTCCAAACCAACACCTCAATTTTATATCCTAGAATTTCCTCAACATATTTTGCTTGTTTTCTGTCTGAAGCTGTATTTTCACTTGCCCCAAGAAAAAAAATATGTCCTGGGTTTCAGATATTCATTTTACAGCAGGAGCTCTGGACTTGTTTGTACAGTCACGCTGTTCTCTGTACAGTATATTTATTCTGGATGGTATCGCTTGCTAAAATCTCTTCCATCAGCATTGGGTGTGAGAAAACCCTGCCTTCTCATGATTAGCAGGGGCAATCCTATGCTATTGCAAAATTGCAACAGGATCAAGCAAGACTATTCAGATAACGAAGATGACAATCTGACAAATATTGGCAGGCCATGATTTCCAGTGACTTCTCTCCCACTCACAGCAGGCTCTCACACCCACGTCCCTTTCTCTGACCTCTGCCCTGATCATTGTCCCAGAGTCTCCTCCCTCATACAACACCCGTGTCAAATGGATTCCATCCTTGACCCTGACACTTCTCTGTTCCCATCTTGGATTCTCATTTGACTTCAAGGGGATGTCACAGTCGAAAAGGAGGATAACATAGGACCAAGTCTGCAGTTCAAATCATAGACCAGATTCTGGAGTCAACAGTAACTGAAAACCTAGATCAGGAGTGTGCAGCACAAACCTACACTTAACCCTCAGAGATCCCATCAGGTATTTATTCAAGAAGGGAGCTGATAAAGATGGGACTAAGATGTTAGCTGGAGGAAAATAAAGCAAGGTGGAAGCAGCTGCTCTGCTAGATAATCCCCCAAAAGAGTAACTACTGTGCTATGTGAAGGACATCTGTCTTTTGGTTTTGTTTTTGTTTTCGTTTAGGAGAGAGAGAGAGAAACATTGATTTGTTGTTCCACTTATTTATGTATTCATTGGTCGATTCTTATATGTACACTGATGGGGGATTGAACCCACAACCTTGGTATATTGAGAGGATGCTCTAACCAACTGGCTACCAGGCCAGGGCCAAGGAGATCTATCATTAAATGTCAGCCATGTACTGGGAAGATTGCTGACATTATTCATTTGACTCGGCCAGGCACTGAATTATGGGCTGGAGGTGTAAAGTATTCTATTTACCCACGAAGAAACTGAGGCACAGAGTCATTCAATAACTTGCCTAATGTCACACAGTTGTTAAGTGATGGAGCTAGGATCTGAACCCAGATTCACTGACCTCAAGTCA